CAATTCTCGATGGAGCTAGGCTCATCTCTGTTATAATCAGACATGTGAACTAATTACCCTTGGATGTACTTTCTGATGCTACCAGTTACACTAGAAAAATTACCTAATTAGCATTCAGTGGTCAGAAAGGCTCATTCCCTTCTCCTGAGGAGGGAGCACACAGCAAATAGAGGGCCAGGATCTGCAGCTTGAACCTGAATATGCTTAGATTTGGGGAGAACTCAGAACCTGCTCTGCTTTTCATGCCTATCTCCAATTTTGCCATTTGGTTTAGGTTCAGAGGAACACCTGGCAATTTGATTACTTCCCAAAATTTCCAGGATCTCTTTTGCTGCTGCTGAGGGCTATCGGCCTGACTCCCTGAGTTAGAGTCAATCAGGAATAGTACCTGTGATATCACTTGGGATTTACTGCTGGAAAAATAAGGCAAAAGAAGAATCAGACCCTCTAAGAGTAGATTTGCTCCTACCTTGCTAATTTTCTTTCTTTTTCCAAAACCCATTTGTAAGCAAGTACTTCTGAGAACAGAAAAGACCACAGATGTTTCAGAAACTTCTGCAAGTGTTTGACTTTTTTCATTTTCCCTAAACCCAGCTCTACAAAGCAGAGTTGCATTGATTTGCTTTGACCTGATTCATGAGTTTGATTCATGCTAGCTGAATTCCCAGTTCAGTCACCAGTGTGGGCGTGCATTTGGTTTTTCTTTTATAACGAGACCAAACCAAACTTGGAGTGGACTCATGGGAACCTTAGGGTATCAGAGAGCAGCTCTGGGATCCCAGAGGTTGTGGCTTTGTTCCTCAGCAGCCATGTAATGGCCCCACTGCAGTGCCTGTGAGCTCAGATGTGGTTTCACAGCAGGAGGACATGAGCAGCCTCAGAGAGGGAGCTCTGTGTTTAGTGACCTCTCTGAGTTATCTGGTAGCCATACCAAAGGGGATGTGGACAATGTGATTTCACAAGGGTTGGGTTAGTTTTGGGAGTACATTCCTGTTCCCTTTGGGATGTTTTAAATTCACCATGTTGTTAAATAATCGCATACAGTCATATTCTGAGGAGACTTAATGCTCTCCTGTGGTTAGGCAGCTCTGTGAGAGCTCTGTTTCACTGGATTGTGTCTGTGACAGGACACAGCCATGGACACTTCACTTCTCTTATTTCTCCATGTTCTGAAAAGGGAAAATCAGGATGATTTAGAAGGAGTACACACACACGCGCACACACACACACCCTCCAAAGCTGTAGCACAGCATAGGTGTGAAACCCATGGCTGCACAGAGCCAGCAAGAGCCCTGTGCTGGATCCCAGCCCTAGAGTAAGGTAAAAGTCAGAAAGGCCTGGTGAAAGCAGAGATGTGAGCTTCATCTAACAGTGGGGCATGATAGTCTTTGCCTTTTATTGCTTCCTCTTCACTAACACTGTAGATATTCCCTCACCAGGTCAGGACAACAGCACTGAAACCAGAAATCTGACCACTCTTCCCTGAGTTAGTATGTGATATTTAGAAAGAATCTAGACTTGCATTCTGATTGGGCACCGGAAAGTGGTCACTGCAGCCCCAATAGAATTGACAAACCACATATTTACCTTCATTTCATAGTTAATGCTATCCTGTTATTACCTCACTGACCAAATGCTTTGTTTCTGTTATTTTTCCTTCTAAGTTTTTGCCAGTTCTGCCACAGACATGGGCTAGGAGCCTAAAAAGTTCAGTCCTGACTCTTTCTTCATTACAGCGTGAAACAAAAACGTGCATGGGGTTTTCTCCTCCAACATAATATTGGAATTAGTGAATTAGCATTACCAAGATAAGCCCAGCTTGGCTGGCACCAGCCCACTCGGTGTGGAGGCAGGATGGGGGTGCGCTCAGAGCCTGGCTCCCTTCAATTGCTTCGTGTTTTGAGGCTGCTTCATTTGAATTTTTCACAAAGCCACATCTGTTCTCCTGTTAAAGATTTACTCCAGCTTAATATGAATTAAATATATGAAGGTCCTAAGTGCAGCTTGCTGGTGTCCTGAGCATTCCCACTGCAGAACTGAGCTGGAGTTAAGACTGTAGGAACACGTTACGTGAGAAGAGGAGACTGCTAATGGTGCACTGTCATTGGCCTCCCTTCCTTACATGAGCATAATTACTAGGAGATTACTAGTAACTGTCTGTAAACCCTGCATCTCTCCCTGCCTCTACTGATCCTTCCTGGCTGTAGTGACTTTCCTGTTTCCCCACAAGACCTCATGGACATTTTGTAGACCAGACTGACATCTCCCTGGCACAGCTCCATTCCTCCCTTACACGGCCAGGCACTCCCTTCACACAGATGGCCCCACAAATGGGGAGGCACAAGTAGTCTGTCACTGAGTACCATGATGGATATGTCAGGCAGCCCATCCTCTCTTCTCCTGTGCTTTGTTGAAGTCCTGCTGTTCTGGAATTTATGGGATTTTTTTTAACCTCAGCTAGAATTTTGACATAAGAATTGGAGAGAAATTGAAAACTTATCTCAAGATTTCATCCAAGCAAGGATGGCAAAATAGAAAATAATATTATGTTGTATATCACAGTGTGATTGTTTCTTAATATTTATCCTGTTGGGATCACATGGAGAAGGGATCTAATTCCCAGCATTCACCCCTATTTTAGCTGTCACCAGTGCAATCCTTAGCAATAATCAATAAAGCCATTCCTCCTGCAGCTGCCCACGATTGCAGTTTTTCTCATTAGTCAGCAATCAATAGCAGCCCTTAAGTTAATAATACATTATGGTGGCATTGTGGCAGCTGGCCTTGCCTGTCTTCCCGATTGAAATGAACATTACGGCTCCTTGGAATGGAAAAGAAGGCACAGGGCAGAAATCAATAGCATTGATTTCAGCATCACTTTTTGAAAAGACTGATCATCCTCCTCTCTGGCCCTGGCAGCAGCCTGTTCTCACTCTGTGTTACTGCACTCACAGGCCCAGCCAGGGGGAAAAAAAAGGATTTGCTTCGATTTGCTCACCTGTGATCTGCAGTAAGAGTGAATTCCATGGGATGAGTGCTCTGGGGCACTCTTGGAGTCACTTATGGCTTGGGAGGTGCTCCTGCCTGTGTCTAATGGGAAAATATTTTCTAATGTTCATTTTTAAAATGGAAAAATCCAAGCCCAAAGATACAGGCTCTAAAAGTATTCAGACTGTCTTTTAGGATGTGCTTTAGCTGAGCACTTCAAGGAGCAAAGTGCTCATGGGTGGTGGGTTGGTAGAGGCCAGACTGTGCTCTCTGCAGTGAGGGAACAAGCTGAGGAGCTGGTTGGCCTCACTGCCTCATACACCCGACACTGGTTTCAGTCAAGCTGCTTTGTTGTGATGATCCAGACATTGCTGATGGGAAAAATAGGGCATTGTAGTACTGAGTGGCAAAACCTTCCCCTATTTCTTTCGGAAGGGATGGTGAGACTGTGCTAGTACTTACAACAGACTGGTGTGCCTGTCCCCTGCACGTGGGGCTCTGTGTCATGGCCTTTCTGTTTGTTTGACAGTGACTACAGGTATGTGGCCGCTGCTCTCGCCGTCATGAGGAACGTGACCCTCCAGATCAACGAGCGGAAGCGGAGACTGGAGAACATTGACAAGATAGCTCAGTGGCAGGCCTCTGTCCTGGACTGGGAGGTACAGTAAACCTGGCACTGTGAACCTGGAAAAGGCAAATTCCAGGCAGTTGTTGAATTATCTAAGGCCATGTAGATCATTTTGCACACTCTAGTCTTGCACTTAAGCTTGGGACAGAGAAGACACATTCACAGGGAATAGAGATTGTCCTTAAGATGTAAAACATTAATACTACCCTGAAGAAAATCTAAGGTCCAGTTCTGATTTCATCAATAGAAACCTGGAGTAACTTTTGTGATTGCAGTGCTGCTGGTAGTGAGATTTGGGTCAAAGCCTTTGTGCATTCTGGCTCTGTGCTGTGTCATTGGGGAAGAAGTAGGGA